GCTGGAGAGAGAGGGGGGGGGGGAGAGAGAAATAGCTGGAGAGAGAGAGAGAGAGAGAGAGAGAGAGAGAGAGAGAGAGAGAGAGAGAGAGAGAGAGAGAGAGAGATAGCTGGAGAGAGAGAGAGAGAGAGAGAGAGAGAGAGAAAAGAGAGCATCCCTTCCAGCCACAGGTGATGTGCTCAACCACGTGTGCGAATCCAGGTGTCTCTCCACAGGTTCACCACCAGAGGGCGTCTTTCATCTGCGTTTAAGGACCGGAAAATTCGATTCTGCCTGAGCAGGCAAGCGTAATTTAAATTTGTCCCTAGTTGCTCTGTCTGCTTAAGGCTAAATTTAACTCCCGGTTGGTTAGTTGGGTCAACTGATGGCTTTTGGATGTTCCCGTGGTCGTTAACCCCTTCCCTGACCCAGTTAAGTGTGTTAAAAGTGTTTGTGTGTCTCTATCTTGAAGCAAAATGTTTCGCAGGGAAGAATAAAGTAATAGGCCGCCTGGTTAGGCGGTACTGGTGGTCCTCGACTTACGACCACAGCTGAGCCCCAGATTTTTCTTCCTGAGCGAGACGGTTGTTAAACGAGTTTTGTCTCATCGTACGACCTTTCTTGCCACAGTGGCCAACGAATCACTGCAGGTGTTTAAGTAACCCAGTCGTTAAGTGAGTCGGGCTTCCCCATGCATTTTGCATGTCAGAAGGTCGCAAGAGGATCGGATGACCCCCCGGGACACTGCAACAGTCATAAATGTGAGTCGGTTGCCAAGTTTCTGAATGTTGGTCATGTGATCTTGGAAGGCCATAAGTGTGAAAACAGTCCTAAGTCATTTCTGTGTTTTATTATTCTATTATATTCCCTATTTTCATGGTCATTAAATGAAGCGTTGAAGATTCCCTGTATTTTTTTATTGTCTGTAAGCTGCCCAGAGTTACAGAGAGTGAGTGGGCGGCTCTATAAATCTTCAAAATAAATAAACAAGTCAACGGAGCAAAACCCAAAGCTGCTTTGAGGCTGAACCCTTCACGGGGGAATCACATATTTTATTTATTTGGTTTCACTAAAGCAAATTTATATCTTTATATTTATATATAGGGGACTCCGGGCAGCTTATAAAATTTTAAAAATATCCACGCTAAAATAAAAGCCATTAAAACCCACCACCCCCTATTAAATCCTTGTTATGTTTTAAAAAGTTATTTATTTAATTTTTATCCCGCTTTTCTCTAAGACCCCGGGAGCAGCGTGCAAAGCGTTCCCTTTTTCCCATTATTTCCCCAACAACGATCTTGCGAGGTCGATTAACCCGGTTCAAAGTCATCTCTTAAGCTTCCCCTGTTCAAGCGTAAATTGAACCCGGGTCCCCCAGACCCAGGCCAACCTTTCCTGGTCCCCAGTTTCCAATTCTGCTTGTCCTGGCTGAAAAGGACTCTTATTGCAACTTAAAAAAATTCTTAGTAACCAACTTTTCAGAATGACAAGAGTTGGAAGAGACGTTGAAGGCCTTCTACTCCAACCCCAGTTCCAGCCACTGCTCTTTATATGTTTTAGCCTCCAGGTCTTTAATGATCCTAATTGCTCTTCTCTGCCCTCTTTCCAAGGCCTTGATAAGGCCACACTTGGAATACTGAATCCAGTTTTGGTCACCACGATGCAAAAAGGATGCTGAGACTCTAGAAAGAGTACAGAGAAGAGCAACAAAGATGATCAGGGGACTGGAGGCTGAAACATATAAAGGATGATTTCTGGAATTGGGTATGTCTAGTTTAACGAAGAGAAGGACAAGGGGGGGGGGGCATGATAGCAGCCTTCCAGTATCTCAGGGGCTGCCCCAAAGAAGAGGGAGTCAAGCTATTCTCCAAAGCATCAGAAGGGCAGGACAAGAAGCAACGGATGGAAACTAATCAAGGAGAGAAGCAACTTAGAAATAAGGAGAAACTTCCTGACAGTTAGAACAATTAACCAGTGGAACAACCTGCCTCCAGAAGCGATGACTGCTCCAGCACTGGAAGTTTTTAAGAAGAGACTGGACAGCCATTGGTGTAGGGTTCCTGCCTGAGCAGGGGGTTGGACTCGATGACCTCCAAGGTCCCTTCCAATTACTTATTATTAATATTATTATCGATCATCGCACAGTCAGCCAGATGTTCAGACTGGATTTGGCATTTTGTCTACCTATCGAGTCCTTACCCAGGACCCGGGAGAGGCAGATGTGGATGTTTGATGGTATTACAGATATCGTCGCAGGATGGAAGCGGTTCCTAGTAAGGCCGCCTTTTGCAATTGACTAATAGCGAATTTGTCAATGCCGATGATGGTGTTGAAGTGGTGCTCCAGTTGTTTTGGGATTGCACCCAAGGCGCCTATGACTATTGGTACTACCCTTGCTTGCTTTTGCCACAGTCTTTCTATTTCTATTTGTAGGTCTTTGTATTTTGTGATCTTCTCCAGTTCTTTCTCTTCTATTCTGCTGTCTCCAGGCACTGCCACGTCCACTATCCAGACTTTTTTGTCTTTCTTATCGACAATTGTTAAGTCTGGGGTATTATGTTGCAGGTGCTTGTCTGTTTGAATTATTATTATTGTTATTATTATTATTATTATATTATTATTATGGATCATCACACAGTCAGCCAGATGTTCAGACTGGATTTGGCATTTTGTCTACCTATCGAGTCCTTACCCAGGACCTGGGATAGGCAGATGTGGATGTTTGATGGTATTACAGGTATCGTCGCAGGATGGAAGCAGTTCCTAGTAAGGCCGCCTTTTGCAATTGACTACTACTACTACTATTATTATTATTATTATTATTATTATTATTATTATTATTATTACGTATATCATGGTGACCAATACTGAATTGAAGGATGCCAAGCATTGGTCTTATCAAAGCTTTTTCTTCTGATTCTGTGGCTAGCTTGGAAGGACCGGAGACATCTTGGCCAGAGGATGCTGTGGTCCGTTGCCAGGGCAACGTGGAACTTAGAACCCCAGCATCACCAGAGAGGCAGATGTCACTGCAAAGGCATCGTTCCACCTTGCTTGGGTGGCTGGGCTGAGAGGGGGCAGCCATTAGCATGTGGCTGCCTGTGGGGACAAAGAGGTGATGGGAGCCTTCTTGAAGATCTGGGCCAGGAGCTGTGGGTCAGGAGATGGAGCAGTTTCCGGAGAGTAAGGTGCCCTGGTGGTGGGGGGACCATAGGGGTTGTGATGGGAAAAAGAGGTCAACCATGTCTTAGTGTCAGCCTTCAAGGCTGTTTTATTCAGACCCAACTCTGGGGTGGTGGAGGTAGCCAAGAAGGACTTGCCAGGGGATCTCAGCCAGCTTCTAGAGTGTATACAGAAATCTGGTCTTTCTGAATGAAAGTGCGGATCAGTGTTTATCAATCTTGGTTACTTGAAAATGGGTGGGCTTTGACTCCCAGAATTGAAGCATCCATCCGTCCGTCTTTCCAATCTATCTATCGATCTGTCTATCATCTCTCTATCTAATTTACTGTCTATCATGGGTCTATATCTATCTATCTATCTATCTATCTATCTATCTATCTATCTATCTATCTATCTATCTATCATCTATCTATCTATCTATCTATCTATCTATCTATCTATCTATCTATCTACCTATCATATTTACTATCATCAGTCTATATCCATCTATCCATCCATCTATTTTATCTATCTATCTATCTCTCTCTCTATCTATCTATCTATCTATCTATCTATCTATCTATCTATCTATCTATCTATCTATCTATCTATCTATCTCCTATCATATTTACTGTCTATCATGGGTTTATATCTATCTATCTATCTATCTATCTATCTATCTATCTATCTATCTATCTATCTATCTATCTATCTATCACCTATCATATTTACTATCTATCATCGGTCTATAATATAGACCGATGATAGACAGAAATATGATAGGAGATAGATAGATAAATAGATAGATATAGACTCTATATCCATCTATCTATCTATGTATCTATCTATCTATCTATCTATCTATCTATCTATCTATCTATCTATCTATCTATCTATCTATCTATCATATTTACTGTCTATCATCAGTCTATATCTATCTATCTATCTATCTATCTATCTATCTATCTATCTATCTATCTATCTATCTATCTATCTATCTATCTATCTATCTCCTATCATATTTACTGTCTATCATGGGTCTATATCTGTCTATCCATCTATCTTTCCATCCATCCATCCATCCATCCACCCATCCATCCATCCATCTCCTATCATATTTACTGTCTACCATGGATCTCTCTCTCTCTCTATCTATCTATCTCCAACTTTTATTATTTGTATAAATGTGCTTTTCCGTCTTGGGCTCCTTTTCTAGAACCATTCCAGTTCAGTTCGATCCGGGGCTGCCATTTCTTCTGGCCCACTGCCAGATGCCCGACCCAGCAGCCCCCCCCCCGCGCGCCTGCCTTCCTCCCCAGCGAAGCCAAGGCGGCTTAAGGGCAGACCCCTCCCCCCTTTCGGGCTGGAATGGACCCCTTCAACGGCAGGGGTCTCGGGGGGGGGCGTCCTCCCACCCCGGGGGTGCAGCTGAGCGGGAGGAGGGACCGGAGCGGGGCCGGGGGCGAGCTAAGCGGGGCTTTGCTGGGGGGCGGGGGCAGCGCCCGAAGTAGCGCCCCCTCCCCCGGTGGAGGGAGCCCAGAGTCGTGGGCGGGCGGGGGGGGGTCTCGGGCATTTCCCGGGCATCTGCCTGGCTCGGGCGGCGGTGCCAAAGAGCCGCGAGACCCGCCCGGCTCCGCGCATCCCTAGCCGGCGCGTACACGCGTGTCTACGGTACGTGTGGACGTGCACGCGCCTCCCGCCTGCCTGAGGGTGGGTCCGCCCCGCTGCTCCTCCTCCTCCTCCTCCTCCTCTCTCCCCCCGCCCATCCAATTTCTTGCTCGGTCGCAGCCACCATGGAAGCGGCTGGGATGCAGGGCAGGAGGAGGAGGAGGAGGAGGAGGAAGGCCAGAGCAGGTGGG